CCCAAAGTCCTCTTGGGGACCCAGCCCTCATTGGGACACCAAGTCCTCCCGAGAACCCCACAGCCGTGCTGGGGAGGGCTGACACCAGGGATACTCACGGCCCCATCGCTGTAGCTGTAATCTTTGTCAGGGGTTTCCACCTGCAAGAGAAAGCTGTCCATGTGCAGGGGGCTCGGCTGTCCCCACCGCTGTCCCCACAGCCCATGGGCCAGCCCCGGGGGGAAGCAGGTCAGGATTCAAGCGCAGGGCTGGCTGTGGGGGCAGGAGCCATCCCACCACAGCCATGAGACCCAGCTCCGTGCTCACCTCTTTCATGTCGAAGTCCGCCAAGCCCACGAGGAAGAGGGCAAAGTGGATGCAGTTGTTTTTCCGCAGACTATACTTGGCTTGGCTGTTCATCGCCTTCCTGACCTTAACACGGAAGTCATTGAGGTTGATCCCACCTTTTTTGCGATAAACCTGGTATTCCTTCCTCTCCATTTTCATGACTCGGAAGCCCTCCTTGAGGATCAGACCACTCTTCCCCCTTCCTCTATCTTGTGGAAAACCAAGAGGCGTCCATCACCCTGGCCCAGCCACCACTCTACGGGCTGCACTTTGGCCATTACCATGTGCCAAACGGGAGCAGGGGGTGGAGTGCTTACCTTGGAAGTGTATGACTTCTCCATCCCCACAGTAGACTGCTGCGTGCTTGAGGCTGCCGCTGGCTCTGCCATATTTGCTGTCCAAGGGGAAGAGCAGGATGTCCCCAGGCTGCAACTTGTTCTTCGGCACTTCCTCTAAGACCTCACTGTACTTGGAGGTGATGTTGAACAACAGAAACTGATGGGCCTCACTCTCCCTCTGCCAACCACAGCAGGGAGAGAAGGTGAGGAGGCAGCAGAACCATCACCCCCCAGCACACCCCGAGACCCCCACGCTGTTGGCGGAAGTCTCACACATCTCTGACTTACAAAGCTGCTCGACATCTGCAGGGAGAGAGGAACAGAAATGGGGATCAGTGCTGTGCTTCTGCCGCCCTGCCCATGTGTGGAGGGCAGGGTCCCACCCGGCCATCACACCCTGCCCATGATGGCTCCTGCCAGGCGCAAGCGCTTGGCTCCGGCAAAAGTCACCCGTCCTGCCAACTTCTCCAAGCTGGAGACACCCGGGGACAAGCCCTGTTCACTGTCCCCATCCTGTCCCCGTACAACGGTGTCAGCTGCCTGCAAAGGGTGTGGAGATGGCACCATCCTTACCATGCTACTCATGCTACTTTTCCTTGTTTCTGCTGGGCCGGAGCTGGTGCGAGAGCCGGGCTGTGGTATCTCCACCACGGGCTGTGGGAAATGCAGCGGGGATGGGTGGGTCAGCAGGGGCTGGAGGAAATCCCATGTCACATCCTTCCCGATGCACGTCAGAGGCGGAGGAAGGCTGAAAGCAGGACTGAAAGCAGTCGAAGATCCTGGCAACCTCCAGGAAGGTATTTCCCCATCTTAACCCTGGGGTTAATTTTGTGATTCTACCTTAAATATCACCTTTTGGAAGAGGGGGAGGCAATGGGGAAGTTCCTGGAAATGCTTTTGAGGCAGAGGAGCTGCAGGACGTCTCCAAAAGTGCGTGTCAGGCAGCGACCACCCACCCACCACTCACCGAGTGACCTTCCCCAGCCCCAGCCCTCTCAGCTTCCTGGCTTCTTGTTTTTGCTCCCTGCCCCTTAGAAGCCATGGGACCCTTTCCCCCTCGCTGGGGAATCAGCGTTCCCCTCTGGTGCGAGCAAAGCCTCCCAGAAACTCTCCCATGCGTGTGCAGGAGTCCCCAAAAGAAAGCCCAGAGAGACACAGAGCAGCTCTAAATAATCCCAGGGGAGGGTTATATTCACAGGGGCACAGAGCAATTGAGGTTGGAGGCCCCTCTGGAAGTCATCTGGTCCAACCTCAGCCTAGAGCTCCTTGCCCCTGACCATGGCCAGATGACTTCTGAATACCTCCAAAATGGGATGGAGGCACCAGAGCGTGCCTGGTGACCTGTGCCAGCAGTCAGTCACCCTCCCAGGAAAAAGTCTGTCCTGAAAAAAGATGTTCTGAGGGAACCTCCCGTGTTTCCCTTCCTGCCCATTGACTCTGGTCCTGGCACTTGGGCACCTCCAAGAAGAACCTGGCTCCATCTACTTTACTGCTCCCACCAGGTGTTGAGACACACTGATAAGATGCCCATGAGCCTTTTCCTCTGCAGGTTGAACAGACCCAGCTCTGCCAGCTTCTCTTTGTATGAGAGATGATGCAGACCCTTGGTGGCCCTTTGTTGGTCTCTCTCCAGTACGTCCAGGACTCTCTTGTAGCGGGAAGCCCAGCACAAGACCCAGCACCCCAGGAGGGGTTTCACCAGTGCTGAGCAGAGGTCAAGAATCTCCTGCCTTGACCTGCTGGGAGCATTCCTCCTACTGCAGCCCAGGAGGCTGTTGGCCTTCAGTGGGCATGTGGTGATAGGACAAGGGGTAATGTCCCCTTCAAACTGGAGTGAGGGAACCTCCTGTATTTCCCTTCCTGCCCATTGACTCTGGTCCTGGCACTGGGCACCTCCAAGAAGAACCTGGCTCCATCTACTTTACTGCTCCCACCAGGTGTTGAGACACACTGATAGGCTCCCGTGAGCCTTTTCTTCTGCAGGTTGAACAGACCCAGCTCTGCCAGCTTCTCTTTGTACGAGAGGTGATGCAGACCGTTGGTGGCCCTTTGTTGGTCTCTCTCCAGTACGTCCAGGACCAGAGAAGCTGTGGCTGCCCCATCCCTAGAGGTGTTCAAGGTCAGGCTGGAAACAGCTTGAGCAACTTGGTCTAGTAGGAGACATCCCTGCCCATGGGAGCGGGGTTGGAGCAAGATGATCTTTAAGGTCCTTGACAACCTCTCTTTACAAGGGAGGCAGGAGGGGGAGGTTGCACCAGGGGTGGGACATCATTCACCACTGGCTTCCAGGAAAGGAGCTTCTGAGAAAGGGAAAGCAAAAGTGAGACACCACCAATGAGTCAGGCTGGGCACAGGGTCTCTGTGCCACCCTTTATTGCCGTGCAAGAGGGATGCCAAAGCCACCGGCGCAATCCCTGTCCCCCGGGGAAGGATGCTCCAGCCCCACTCAACGCCGGGGCGCATCGTCGCCTCCATCACTGCAGCGCTGGAAACACCTGGGAGAGAGGGTGGGCTACGCTGACGCTGGGCTGGGGCAGGTGTCGGGGTCCCCTGGGGTGGTGGCACCCACTGTAGCGCCGGCGAGCTGTCCCAGCCCCAGCAGGGCGAGGGCAAAGTGGACACAGTTGCAGGTGATGGCGTCGTACTCCACCGCCTGGTCCATGGCCGCCCGGATGCGCCGCTGCAGGGAGGCCGCATCCAGCCCTCCCTTCCTCCGCAGCACCTTGGCTGGACCCCGCGTCCGCAGGAGGTGGCTCTTGCTGTGCTTGGCCACGATCCCCAGTGGGGACGTCCCCAAGCTGCCTGCGGGGTGGAGGGGAGCTGGTAGTCTTTGTCCCTTCCATGAAGCTGTCCCCATGAGGTGACCACCTCCTGGGGCTCTCACCTTCCAGGTGGATGATCTCCCCGTCACCGCAGTAGACACCAGCATGGGCGCCCCACCAGCCGGGCCCACCGGAGGCCAGTGGGAACAGGAAGAGGTCTCCAGGCTGGGGTTGGGCCATCCCATCGGGGACCACATCGAAGTGCTGGCCCAGCAGCCCCTCGCAGAGGAAGAACGCCGCTGTGCTCACTGCCCCGGCCACCCCCTGGGGACCCGTTGGTGATTCCGGTGCCCCCGGGGACACCGGAGCATCCCTGACCCGCTGGCTCATTCCCCATCCCAGTGACATCCCCAGCTTGGGTCTCCATGTGTGAGGAAACCCTGCGAGAAGGGTCCTCTCCTCTAGGTGCTGAGCACCCATGGGTGCTGAGGGAAAGGCAGGTTGTGCCACGTTTGGCCCTCTCGTGCCAGGGGTGAGATGGGTGGTGCGGGGCAGAGCGGGGACGCTGGGACTTCCCTGCCTGGAGCTGCCCACCTGCAGGGACAAAGAGCTGGCTTCAGCCCCGGTGGGTAGATGGGACCCAGAGCACCAGTATCATGGTGCAGCCACTGCCCAGATCGCTGGTCTCCCCCTCCCCCATCCCCTGGCGAGGGTTTCCATGCCAGCACCCCAAACCTGTCCCACCCAAGAGCACAGCCAGCGCCAGGTCTGGAGGAACGGCCCATCTGGGTCTCGCAGGGTCTGCACCAGGGTGTTCACCTGTGGGGAGAGGGGGCAGAGAGAGCCTGGGACCCGGTCTTTGCTAGTGCCCACCCCTGTTGACACCCATTCCCCTCCAACACCCACTACTGCTACCACCTACCCCTTCTTCCACCCATCCCCATCCTCTGCCCGCCACCCCCCTGCTCCCCCAGACTCAGCACCGGGGAGGTCCCAGCCAAGCATTCCGTAGGTTTCAGGTGCCACAGCAGAGGGGTGGCACCGCCTGGGTGTGGGTGCCCTCCTGCCATCTGCCCCGTTACCTGGGTGAGGAGGTTCATCTGCAATGAGAAAACATGATGTGCAGAGAGCTGGGGACACGGGGCTATGCCCAGCCCCACCTCGGGGAACTCTCTGTCCCCAAACAGTTGAGGTGTCACATCATCTTGCCAAAACCCAAGCCATGTCCTCAGGCACCACACCAGCTCTGGCGTTCATGCTTTTCCCAGCTCCCTCACCTTGGGGACGCCTCTGAAATCACCTTGCTCCAACGTGGTCCCCAAGAAGCTGCTGCTCTGAAAGTGGCTGTGGGGCAGGTCCTCAACCCACCCCAGCAAACACCCTGCGGTGGTTCTTGGCACCTGCACATGGCTCCACTGGTGCCTGGGAATGTGCCCGGACCACACTGACCGGCTGCACCGTGGCACTGAGCCATCCGGTGGGGCCAGTCCCAGGGGAACAAACCCAACCTGTTGTGACGTTTCATCAATGAGCCCTTTGGGTGACCCCAAAGGAGTCACAAAACAGCCCAGTGGCCACAATGCACCACTGATAGCCAATGGACTCCAAGCTGGTGCAAAAACACCTCTGGGTGTCAAAATGCCTCTTGCCCTGAAGATCGCCCAAGAGATCGACACCAGCCTGTCCCCAGCCCCATGTCCCAGAGGTGGTGTGTGCCCAAGGTCAGCTCCGGAGCCACATTAAACTTTAATCCTTGTGCTGGGACAGGGGTGGGCATGGGGTGGTGAAGGGAGAGTGGGGGGGTCAGCGAAGGCTTTGGCAGGGCTTGGAGCGGGTGACGTGGGAGCTGTCACCCTCTGTCATCAGGCAAACTCCACAGCATCATTTATCACGGAGCCTCCAATAAACGAGAGCTAATTACAGCTGAAACCAGAGCCTGGCCTGGACACGGCTCAGTGCCTGCCGGCCACGTTAACCCTTCCCAGCCACCACAGTCACCTTGTACCTTCCCAGACCTTCGTGGCTTCTTCTGGTTACTCTTGCCCCTCCTGATCTCAACCATCTCCTCCTGGCCCTTATTGTCCCATCCTGATGTACTCGCACCACCCTCTTCTGGTCCCTAGTGTCCCCTTCTGGTCTGTAGCGCCTGCTCCTGGTCATCACTAACCACCCCTGGGCTCCATCATCTCCTGGTCCTCATCATTCCTCTATGTTCCCTTGAGCCCTCTTTGTCACCATTGTCCCCTTCTGGTCCCCACCATCCCCCTCCCAGTCCCTGTCATCCCATCCCAGTCCACAGTATCCCCTCATAATCCCCATCCACCTCTATTGCATCCCACTGCCCCTTCCTGATCCCCATCACACCCTCTACCATCCATCATTGTCTCCTGGTCACCATCTAAACAGCCAGGTTCCCATTGTCCCCTCCTGATCTTCATCATCCCCTCCCAGTCCCCATCACCTTCTCCTCGTCCCCATCATACCCTCCTGATCCTTGTTGTCCTCACCTGGTCCCCACCATCTCCCCTTGGTCCCCCTTCATTCCCTCCTGGTTCCTAATCATCCCATACTTGTCCCCATCATCTCCTCTGAGTCCCAGTCATCTCATCCTGGTCGCTGCCATCTCCTCCTGGTCCCTGTCACCACCTCCTGATCATTGTTGTCTCTTCCTGGTCCCTGTCATCTCCTCTTCATGCCCATTGGCTCTTCCTGGTCTCCATCAGCCCCTCCCGGTCCCTACCATCTCCCCTCAGTTCCTAATGTCTCCTCCTGATTCCCATCATCTCCTCTTGGTCCTCACCATCCCCTTGGTCCCCGTTGCCTCCTTCTAGTCCCCACCATCCTGTCCTGATCCTTGTTGTCCCCTCTTGGTGCTCACAATCTCTCCTTTGTTCCCGTTGTCTCCTCTCCCCCACTGTCCCCTCCTTGTCCCCACTGTCCCTTCCCATTCCCCACCACCCTGTGCCATCACCAGCAGGAGCAGGGCTGCCAGGAGAGCAGCCACCTGATGTCCCCAACCAAGCTTTCCCCTGGCCAGGATGCATCTACCAGCTCCCCATGGCCAGCATGATTAGGGCAACAAGAGCCTCGGGGCTGCTCCTGACCACAGGTTTTGAGCCCATCGGCAGCATCTTTGGGTAATTAGTAAATTGGTAATTAAATGCTCTCTGCCTGCTGAGGCTGGGGGGAGGAAGGGGAGGACAGATCCCAAGGTTTTAGGCTGGGTAATCCCGTGGCATCTGCCCCAGCGTCTGTCACCGAGCCGAGTCACGACCCCGCCGCGGGCTTTAATGTTTGCTCCTTCACCCCCACCCCGCTGCCTGCAGCCCCTCGGCCGTGGCATCGGGCCTGCTCGGGGCACTCCCCGAAACCAGGCTGGGTCGAGCCCTCCCCCGGGTGCCTGGGTTGGGTACTCAGCCCCGTGAGGCAGACGGGGTCCTGCTCCACGGGTGCCCCACCTTGGGGACGGCACTCGGCCGGGTGTAATGGAGAAACGGGGTGGGAAACCATATTTTTGTAATTATTGGCTTTCCTGGGCATGCCGATGATTGGCCGGCAGCAGATGGTTGGCCTGGCTAATCCCCCTCCCAAATCCCCGCTCCGGAGCTGGCTTTTACCCAACGGCGAGGAGGGGACGGGCAAATTAGCCGACTCAGCGTGTATCGCCATGCTGGCCGTGCCCGCCCTCCCCGGGCAGGGGGTGCCCAGGTCCCCCATGGGTGGGCTGGCGCCCTGGGCTGTGGGTGCTCCCAGCGCCCCCACATTGGGCACCAGAGGTTGGTTGTTTTTTTTCAACCGGTGGGTGAAGCTCTGCTGAAGGGTCTGGAGGCACCTGGACCGCAGGGGAGGGACGGGCAGGGTGAGGTGACAGCTTGCTCCCGCCGCATTAGCCCAGCGTCATAATTCTGCCGAGGGAGGAGGGCGGCCACTGCCGCAGATGGCGGCTGTCAGAGATCTGGGTCAGGGCGGGATGGGGGCTGCGGGGTGGGACGGGGCACCCCGGGGGGACAGGGGGTCCCGGGGGGTGGGTGGAGGGGTGCTGCAGGTAGGGGTGGTGGAGCCGTGCTGCAGGCAGGGGAGGTCGAGCAACACTGTGGGCAAAGATGATGGAGCCATGCTGCAGGCAGGAGAACACGGGGCCATGCTGGTGGCAGGAGAACATGGAGCCATGCCGGTGGCAGGAGAACATGGAGCTGTGGTGCTGGCAGGAGAACGTGGAGCCATGCTGGTGGCAAGAGAACATGGGACCATGCTGGTGGCAGGACAACATGGGGCCATGCTGCAGGCAAGAGAACATGGGGCCATGCTGCAGGCAGGAGAACATGGAGCCATGGTGCTGGCAGGAGAACATAGGGCCATGGTGCAGGCAAGAGAACATGGGCATGGAGCCATGCTGCAGGCAGGAGAACATGGAACCATGCTGGTGGCAGGAGAACATGGAGCTGTGGTGCTGGCAGGAGAATGTTGAGCCATGCTGCAGGCAAGAGAACATGGAGCCATGCTGGTGGCAGGAGAACATGGAGCCATGGTGCTGGCAGGAGAACATAGGGCCATGGTGCAGGCAAGAGAACATGGGCCATGGTGCTGGCAGGAGAACATGGAGCCATGGTGCTGGCAAGGGAACATGGAGCCATGGTGGTGGCAGGAGAACATGGGGCCATGCTGCAGGCAGGAGAACATAGGGCCATGGTGCTGGCAGGAGAATGTGGAGCCATGGTGCAGGCAGGAGGACATGGAGCCATGCTGGTGGCAGGAGAACATGGAGCCATGGTGCTGGCAAGAGAACATGGAGCTATGGTGGTGGCAGGAGAACATGGGGCCATGCTGCAGGCAGGAGAACATAGGGCCATGCTGGTGGCAGGACAACATGGAGCTGTGGTGCTGGCAGGAGAGCATGGAGCCATGCTGGTGGCAGGAGAACATGGAGCCATGGTGCTGGCAAGAGAACATGGAGCTATGGTGGTGGCAGGAGAACATGGGGCCATGCTGCAGGCAGGAGAACATAGGGCCATGGTGCTGGCAGGAGAATGTGGAGCCATGGTGCAGGCAGGAGGACATGGAGCCATGCTGGTGGCAGGAGAACATGGAGCCATGGTGCTGGCAAGAGAACATGGAGCTATGGTGGTGGCAGGAGAACATGGGGCCATGCTGCAGGCAGGAGAACATAGGGCCATGGTGCTGGCAGGAGAATGTGGAGCCATGGTGCAGGCAGGAGGACATGGAGCCATGGTGCTGGCAGGAGAACGTGGAGCCATGGTGCAGGCAAGAGAACATGGAGCCATGGTGCTGGCAGGAGAAGGTGGAAGGAGGTTGCAGGCAGGGGAGGTCAAGCAATGCAGTGGGCAGGGGGGGATGGAGCCATGCTGGAGGCAGGGGGGGGATGGAGCCATGCTGGAGGCAGGGAGCAGGGATGGAAGGAGGCTGCAGGCAGCGTGGATGGAGCCACAGAGCAGGCAGGATGATGGCACCATGCAGCAGGCAGGGATGGTGGAGGGGTGACAAACCCCCCCCCCAGCCCCCGGATCCACATTGTCACTGCCGCCAGCCCTCACCAGGGACCTGCTGGCAGCGCCCGTCCCCTGGGATGTCTCTGCCGGGGACACAGGTGGCAGCGACACCCCCAGGACCACAGGCTGAGCCCCCCTCGGGGGGGACACAGGAACCTGGGGACCCCCGGCCACAGCCTGGCCCACCCCTGGGGACAGCCCAGGCTGGGTGGTGGTGACCACCCACCATCCCCCTGAGCTGGGCGGGGGGGGTTTAGCGGCTAAAGCCCTCAAATCCCAAATTGTGCTGCCCTGTCACGGCGAGGGTTTAGTGGCGGTTGCGTAACCCCGGGGGCCACCTGGCCCCCACCCGCTGCCATGTCAGCAGCCCCGGCCCAACGCCCCCGCGGGACCTGCCCCCCCGCCAGGGGAAACTGAGGCACTGGGGAGGGGGGTGTGTGTGTCCCAGTGAGCATCCCCCCCTCCCCTCGCCATCAGGGCTGGTAATTAATTACTTGGGGGCAGGGAAATTACCCCCCTTAATTACCACTTTTCGTTATTCCCCTCTAACCGCCTTAGCAAAGGGCTTATGCGCTTATAGGAACCGGTGGGTCCAGAGGGGGGGAACACACACATATGGGGGGGGTCCCTACCCTTAGCCCCATCTCCCACCTCTGCTGCAATCTCAGCCTCGCAATGCTGGGTGGTGGGTGCTGGGGACACACACGGAGGCGGTGGCAGGGTGACACCCCCAC